CATGAACCCCTACATACCTATCCCTCCCCTTGTTGTATAGCTCAAACTGGTCCTTGTATACAACCGTATCATCTGAATCTCTCCATGTCTCTTTCACTAGATACCTCGATTGTCGTTTTCCCGTTTTCACCTACCATACCGCACCACAATACCCATCTTTCCTCCTTCAACCCGGTCCACCCACGCCCTTGACCAAACACCCACTCACACCCTTTCACTGCCCACCCACCTGAGCCATCCCCACCTACCTTTTCACACGCAACCGCGCAGCACACCTTCTTGCACCAGCCTTTAAACCCTCAGAGGAAATGTAAGTCGCATACTCTAGCTTTTCTTTTTCTTTTTTTTTTTTTCTTTTTTTTTAGATGGAGTTTATCCTTGTCCAACCCCAGGCTGGAGCACAATGGCGTGATCTTGGCGTCACCATGCAATCTGCTCTGCCTCCTGACGTTCAAGACAGATACATCTCCCCTCGCCCTCAACGCCCCTCCCGAGGAAGCTGGGATTCCACTGTAACGATGCCACTACATCCCTGCCGTAAGTTTGTTGTATTTTGGTAAGAGAAGGGCGGGGGGGGGGGCGGGGGGGGGGCGGGGGGTTTTGCCATCTTGGCCACAGGCTGATTCCAATTCCTGACCTCAAGTGGATCTCGCGCCGCTCTCGCCTCGGCCTCCCAAAGTGTTAGGATTACAAGTGTGAGCCACAACACCCAGCCAAAGTTTCTATTTCTTAAGTTGGGTATATGGACATATAATTTAACGATTAAGAAAAAAAAAGATACCTTCCTGTTTTTTTCATGTTTTGTTTTTTGTTGTAGGCCTGTGTGCTTCATTCGTTCCCCCATATGAATCCGTAAAGAAGTAGCCATTAACAACTTCAATCAATATATACCGGATTCATACTTTAGGAAGACAATCCAGTTGACAACCACAACAGTTTCTATGATAACAAAAGTGATAGAAAATACTACATTAGGGTCATTTCAAGAAAGTTCAATCATAAGATATAGCCCCAAGCAAAAATACACACACAAAAAAGCTAAGTAAGAAGCTTTTAGAAAACTACTATCATCCTTGGAGTAAGTACAACAAAGTATTCTTTTATGTCTTTGTTTTTTTCATGAAAATGCTTCCTATAGCCATAGATTTTAAACCATTACATCTTATCTAGATTTCATATTAGATCATTAACATTTTTTCTAGATTCCATTGTTATTCTTTGGTAACCTTTATTTTTAGTATCTTAAAAATACTTTATTAAATATAACACATACATTCAGAAAAGTACATAAAATATACCTTAAGGTATAGCTTAAGTTATTGTAAATTATTTGCCCAAATACCCACCAACCTGGTCCCGAAATATATTACAGCCGGTATCCAAGAAGCCCACAGTTGTACCTTTCAGTTCACACCTCCCTATCTCCCACCTCGATGGCTCTGTGAGCACAGTGTGTCTCATATTCTCTTCTGCTGTCACCAGATTTATTCTAAAACAGTTTCTTTACTTACCCTGTGTGTAACCACCTCTTTGTTCTTGATAGTTTTACTGCCCAAGTATGAATCCATAAGAGTGTTTCTCAGTTTTCTTTTCATTTTTGTCCCCCTAAGAAGCCTTTTTAGAAGTTTTCTTCCTAATTCTACCCCCATGCCCCATGGAATTTTAACACCACAGATATATTGTGTATATCTATTTATGTTTACGTCCCTTTGGAGGGCAGCAGACCATTATAATAGGTAAGATTTTCTTTCACTCTAAGGACCAGTTTTCACTCCACTGCAGGCAATATTTCCTCTACTAAGAATGTATGCCCTAACCAACATTTTGCCTATTTTTGAACTCTATATAGAGGAAATTGTACAAATTAGGTTTTGGGGGTCTGGTCTCTTTTGTTTAACGTAGTGTTCAAGATTCGCCCATCTTATCCCACATAGCTGTAAGCCATTCTATGAATACCATAATTCTCCATTTTATTGGAATGAACATTTGGGTTATTTTCTGTTTGGGGCTATTATAAACGATACTGTCTGAAGATTCCTGTGTCTCCTAATGCTTACGTACTCATTTCTTGAGGAGTATATATCCACGAGATTCCTGAACCATAGGGTATGAGTATCTTCCCTTTACCAAGTTGTTTTCCAAATACTTGTACAAATATACACCTCCATTAGGAGGATATAGAGTCCCATAACAATTTCTTACCTTAAAAGATAAGTTGAGCAAAATGTCTCCTATCCCTTCTTTTTCTTTTACAATCTGAAGATCACTGTGCAAAGCACTGTCAGGGTCAACCCTAAGAATTACAAAACAAAAATATAATTCAAATACAAAGAGATTTTTTATTTTTACTAACTCAAAAATGAACCAATCTGAAAGTTAAAATAGAGCACCTAGGGTAAGTTCCAGAAAGAGAAGATCTTAAGCTGCTGTATATCCCCAGGAAAAATAGAGGCCATTATAGCTTCGAGCTCCTTTAGAATAAATGTCCCAAAGAGATCATAATAGTCTAAATCTAATCTAATAAGGGGGTTCAAAGTTTGCAGTCATTCTAAAGGAAAATAGTCACATGTATATAATGTTCTCAAGAATTCAAAAAAAGTTTACTATGCTTTCCTAAACTTGTATTATAAGCCAAGATGTTCAAGGAGAAAAATTTGCCGTGGACGGAACTATCAAAAGCTAAATCACTAAAAAATTGATATTTTTCTACAACTGTCCTATATATACATGTCCAATATGAATCCTACCCCAAATACCCCCTTTTTTTTTAAGAGACAGGCTGTCTCACTCTGTCACCCAGGCTGGAATATAATGGTGCAATCACAGCTCTTTGCAGCCTTGACTTCTCCAAGCTCAAAAGATCTTCCTGCCTCAGCCTCCCACCACCCCTGGTAGCTGGGACTACAGGTGTACTCCACCTATATATTTTTTAAGTAATAACATAACTACCTCCACAATAAGAGTTGATTATGTTGCTTTCAAAACTGGGGGGAAAAATCACAAAAATCAACTTGGCAATCATTCTCTGTATAATGAAATGTATTACTCTTATTTACTTACCAGGCAATATTGTTCAAGCTTTTTGCCAGAAGATAAAAATCATGTAAATGTTCACTCTATCAGGAAGATGACAAAAAAATTCCGATGGACCTACAAAAACAATTTCTTCAAATCCAAAAAACAAGCAAACTCATCCTATCTTGTGTCCTACATCTTTTGGAACTTGATTGCATTTGAGTTTCACAAATTAAGGCTAGTAAACATTTCCATTTCTGTCTAGTTTTAAGAAATGATATTTATAATCTGACAACAGAAAAGAACAAAAGAACAATAAGAGCAGGGATTTAGAGATCCTTACCTGTCTTATAACTCTGTGATCTATATATGTTTCCGAGTTCTTTCATAAATCTATCTGAAGCTTGCACTGACCCAGACACTGCAGCCTGAAACACAAAAGCCACTGTTTACCAGGGTCTACTGAGTCAACTAATTTAAAGATTTAAGGTATTTCAACCTGCTCTAAAAGATTACAGTAGCCAGGCAGGGGGCTCACACCTGTAATCCCAGCACTTTGGGAGGCTGAGGAGGGTGGATCACCTGAGGCCGGGAGTTTGAAACCACCTTGGCCATCAGGATGACACCCCATCTCCACTACAAAAATACAGAAGTTGGCTGGGCCTGGTTGCATGCGCCTGTGTGCCTATATGCAACTAATTTCAGCTACTCACGAAGCTGAGGCAAGAGAATCACTTGAACCCGGAAGGTGGAGGTAGTAGTGAGCTGAGATGGCACCACAGCACTCTGGCCTGGGCCACAGAGCAAGACTCCATCTCAAAAGAAAAAAAAAAAAAAGAGAGAGAGAGAAATTACAATAAAAATGGATTACCACTCAACATTTTAAGAACTAAAAAAACAGTCCAATTAAATGAA